ATTGAATAAAAAATTAGATCTAGTAAAGTTGATTAGAAGGAGTATTTTTTAATTTTTTACAAATCTTTTTATCATATATCACTCTTTTCTTTTTTCCTTTTTCTTTTTTGTCTTTTAAGTTCTTTGTTTTAAAACTTATGTTTAATTCTTAGAATGCACATTTGTTAAAATTTTCAACATTTGTTTTTGGGTGGAGTTATTATCACATTCTAAATAATTAATGCCACATATTTTTAATATAATTATTTATTATATCCTTACATTATACTTTTTTTTGAAAATTTTATATTTTTTTCTCTTAGTAAATTAAAAGGATATAACAATCAATTAAAATTTTTTTAAAAAGTACAATATTAGTAATTGAAGGTGTAATAATAACATTACCCTTTATTTTGCTTTTTTTTTTTTGGTTGGTATAATGTTCTTAATCTCGGAGGTAAAAATATCTGAGATTTTAGTCATTCATTAAATAATGTTTGGCTTAGGAGAATGATTTTGGATTCAAGTGCAAGACTAGGGGTGGGCACTGGTCGCCTTAGTCACCGAACCGATCTACATGCATGGTGATTGATTGATATTTCGGTTGATGAAAAGAGTGAACCAATTATCAAACCAAAATTGTTTCGGTTGTAATTGTTCAGTGACCGAATAATGTTCAGTGATCTTTTCAATTTTGCTTTTGGATTCTTCCAAAACACAGTTTTAAGGAATGTTTGGTTGATGGAGCTAGCACTTTATTAGGAAATTTTTTATTAAAAAATAATTTTAAAAAATAAAAAATGAAAATTTAGAAAGTATTGTTTGAAAAATTATTAAGCTTTGTAATAGTTTTGTTAAAATTTTATTGGGTTATTAATTTTATTGTATTTAGTAAGGAATTGATGTAAAAAAATTAGTATGAAAAGTAGTTAAATAGAGTCAATATAAAAAAAAAAGGGTTATAAGGAAACTTTTTTACTATTAAAATATATGAGAAAAAAACTTTATAAATTGAGATTTGGGTAATGCTCAAAATGCCACTTTCTCCTCTTTTTATTATAATATTAATATGTAAAAATATATAAGAGGAAAAAATTTAGAAAACTTTGGGGGAATGATTTTGGCGAAACCCCAATTTAGTCCATTAACTTATAGATTTTAAGGTTATTGGCCCCACCTAAAAAATTAAGGGTATTAGTCCCTCAATGATATGATTTAAGGGAATTCATCCTTATTTACCATATTTTAATCTCACATCATTATTCAAACATCATTTTCATCTTAATCAGCAACACAATTAGTGTTTCTATTCTATAAGGCATGCTACCATTGCAATCAATAAAATTTTCTCTTTCAATATGATATGAGTTCTTCTCTAATAAGTTAAACTATCTATTTTTGTCAATATTCTACATAATTTTTTTTTAAATTATTTTTATAATAAAATGACATTACCGCAATGACATACCATCACTACTAGAAAAATGACGTATACGGACCGATCATATACGGACCGAATAGTGTCGGTCTGAACACAAAAATATACGGACCGATATCGGTCTGGATATGTTAATGAACATATTCGGACCGGTATCCGTCCGTATATTTTCGGCGGACGCCACAGTACAAACGCGCCAATGATATTCAG